CCCTCCCGGCACCCCCACCCCAGAGCATGCAGAGCCCACCCTGCACCCTCAACCAGGGCACCCTGAACTGAGGCACCCCCAACCAAGGAACCCCCAACTGGGGCACCCCAACCCCTCCATCCCCCACCCTGGAGCACGGCACAGCCCACCCTGCACCCCCAACCAGGGATACCCCAAACCAGGGCACCCCGAACCGGGGGCACCCCGACTCCTCATGCCCCCACCCAGGAGCACCCAAACAGCCCCTGCACCCCAAACCCGGGGGTACCCTAATCCCTCATGCCCCCACCCCGGAGCACCCAAATACCCCCTGCACCCCGAACCAAGGGCACCCCGACACCTCGTGCCCCCTCCCTGCAGCACCCAGACAGCCCCTGCACCCCACATATCCCCCACCCCAGGGCATCCAGACCCCACCCATGCACCCTGATCCCCTTGTGCCCCCCTTCATGGGCACCCACAAACCCTTTGAACCCCGATCCACTTGTGCTGCCCTCCAGGGGCATCCAGAACCCCTCTGCACCCCAAACTTCCACAAATCCCCCACCCCAGGGCATCCAGAACCCCTCTGCACCCCACACCTCCATGAATCCCCCTCCCTGGGCATCCAGAACCCCTCTGCACCCCACACCTCCATGAATCCCCTGTCCCAGAGCATCCAGAACCCCTCTGCACCCCAAACTTCCATGAATCCCACATCCAAGTGCATCCAGAACCCCTCTTCACCCCACACCTCCATCCAGAATCCCCTGTCCCAGGGCATCTGGAACCCCTCTACACCCCAAACTTCCACGAATCCCCCACCCCAGGGCATTCAGAACCCCTCTGCACCCCAAGCTTCCACGAATCCCCCACCCCAGGTCATCCAGACACCACCTGCATCCCCATCCCCTTGTGCCCCCACCCTTGGGACACCCAGAGCCTCCTGCACCTCCCCCCCCGGCATCATCTAGAACCCCTCAGAGACATCCTGGCTGTACCCTGCTGCCCCCATACACCCTAAACTCGTTCCCACGGGGATCCTGGTGACACCCAACCCTGGGGAGCTGCACCCAAGACCCCCTGGCACGTTCAGACCCCGGGGCCAGCACCCAGCACCCCGTGAGCCCAGCGCGGTGCCCGCGGCGCCCCGGGGGCACTCACAGATGTAATAGTAGGTCTCCCCCGGCTGGAACTCGAAGCCGAGTGAGAAGGGGGTGAAGCGCTGGATTTTCTCGGAGAATCGGACGGGCCCGAAGGGAGCCCGGGGCCGGTTGCACTCCCAGCGCTTGAAGGCGCCGGGGGTCTCGTAGCAGCCTCGGTAACCCTCCCGGTCCACCATGAAGAGCGTGAAGGTCTCTGCCCGCCCGGCGGGCACCGGCCCCTCGTAGTGCGGGCAGTAGATGTCCAGGTAGTCATTGATGGCCACCTGGATGGAGTAATCGTCCCGCAGGAACCTGGCGGGCAGGAAGAGCAGGGGGTTCCCATGGGAGGGCCGCCCCAGCGGAGCGGGGAGCTGCGCTTTTCCCAAAAAACCACCGGCCGCGCCATCAGCTCCGATTAGCCGCAGGCCGCTGGAGCTGAATGGGCTCGGCCCCCGCGGCCCAGGGGGTTTGGAGAGCCACGCTGGCCAGGCACAAAGCCCCTCGCCGCGGGCACCCGCCGGGCCGTGATCGGCCGCGACACGCCGGCGGGGCGCCGGTGCGGCGGGACGCTCCGGTCCCGCGGGGGGCGCGGGGCGGGCGGGCGACGGAGCCCAGCCCAGGGGATGCTCCGAGCTCCCGGTTGTGCCGGCAGCAAGTGCGGCCCGGGCCGGGGTGGAGCAGCCGTGTGCACATGAGCGGGCACACGCGTGTGCACACACGCTCGGTCCTGAGCGTGGAAAAGAGGGGCTGGCAGGCAGATGTCGGCCCCACGGTGTTGAGAGAGTGCAGAAGATTCATCAGCGGGATGGCAGCGCTGGCAAAGGGCGGCTGGAAGCCCCGACACCCCACTCAGGCCGGGGGCTCCCCGAGGGCAGGATGGAGCACAGACTCCTGCTGATTCAGAGCATCCCACGGGTGACGCCGG